CCTTAAAAACAGGAACAAGACAAGGATGCCCACTTTCGCCACTCTTATTTAACATAGTACTGGAAATCTTTGCCACGGCAATCAGACACGAAGAAAAAATGAAAGGGATCCAAATTGGAAAGGAGGAAGTGAAACTGTCATTATTTGCAGATGACATGATATTATACATAGAAAACCCTAAAGAGTCCATCAAAAATCTACTACAGTTAATAAATGAATTTGGCAAAGTAGCACGATACAAAATTAACGTCAAGAAATCAACGGCATTCTTATATACCAATGATGAACTCACAGAAAGAGAAACTGAAAAAACAACCCCAGTCACCATCGCAGCAAAAAAATTAAGATACCTAGGAATGAACTTAACCAAAGAAATAAGGGACCTATTGGCAGAAAACTACAAGTCATTGAAAAAAGAAATAGAGGAAAATATAAAAAAGTAGAAGCACATACCTTGTTCATGGACTAGAAGAATTAACATCATTAAAATGTCCATATTACCCAAAGTAATCTATAGATACAATGCCATCCCCATCAAAATACCAACGACATACTTCACAGAACTAGAACAAATACTTCAAAACTTCATATGGAACCAAAAAAGACCTCGAATAGCCACAGCAATCTTAAAAAAGAAGGACAAAGTAGGTGGGATCACAATAACAGATATCAGGTTATATTACAAAGCTACTGTAATTAAAACAGCCTGGTGCTGGCACAAGAACAGGCATATATACCAGTGGAGCAGAACAACGAACCCATAAATGGACCCAAGACATTATGCTCAATTAATATTTGACAAAGGTGTCAAGAGCATACAATAGGGTAAAGAGAGCCCCTTTAATGGGAAAATTGGACGCCTACCTGTAAAAAAATGAAACTAGACCATCAACTTACAACATACACAAAAATAAACTCAAAATGGATAAAAGACTTAAATGTGATTCATGAATCCATAAAAATCCTAGAAGAAACTGTAGGCAACAAAATTTCAGACATCATACACAGCAGAATTTTCACTGATACATCACCTAAGGCAACAGAAACAAAGGAGAAAATTAACACATGGCCCTATATCAAACTAAAGAGCTTCTGCACAGCAAAAGAAACAACCACCAAAATGGAAAGGCAACCCACTGTATGGGAGAGCATCACTGCCAATGATATATCAGATAAGGAGTTAATTTCCAAAATATATAGAGTATTCATCATACAACTCAACAAAAGAAGGACAAATAACCCAATTCAAAAATGGGCAGAGGAGCTGAATAGACACCTCTCCAAACAGGACATACAAATGGCCAAGAGATATATGAAGAAATGCTCAACATCACTAATCATCAGAGAGATGCAAATTAAAACAACAATGAGGTATTACTTCACACCTCTCAGAATGGCCTCCATCAACAAATCATCAAACAAGTATTGGCGAGTGTGTGGAAAAAGGGGACTCTAGTACACTGCTGGTGGGAATGCAGACTGTTGCAGCCACTATGGAAAACACTATGGTGTTTCCTCAAAAAATTAAAAATTGAACTTCCATTTGACCCAGTGATCCCACTTCTAGGAATATACCCTAAGAAGCCTGAAACATCAATCAGAAAGAATATATGTACCCCATGTTCATAGCAGCACTATTTACAATAGGTAATATCTAGAAATAGCCCAAGTGTCCATCAATAGATGAATGGATAAAAAAGCTGTGGTACATATACACAATGGCATACTATGCAGCTGTAAGAAAGAAAGATCTCTTATCCTTTGATTCGACATGGAGTGACCTGGAAATTATTAACCTAAGTGAAACAAGCCAAGCAGAAAAAGACAAATACCACATGATCTCACTTATATGTGGAATATAATGAACATAACAGTTTGAGGAATTGGGTAGACCCAGAGACGTGGAAGTAGGGTACAGACTGACAACCCTCAAAAGAGGAGGTGGGGGGGGGAGAAAAGAGTTAAACCACAGAACTTATATGCATGTACGCATAACCAGTGGATATGTACAACAAAGCCTGGGACACGGTGGGGGGGTGGGGAGGAGGGTGTCAATGGGGTAAAAAAGGAGAAACATCTGTAATTAAAATAAAATAAATTTTAAAAAATCCAAAAAATTAAACATGTCATGGAAAATAGAATGCTGTGCCACAGAACCGCTCTGGCCAAATGAGATTAGCCTGCGTGGAATCTGCACTGAGGGGAATTCAATAGATTCTAACACTTATTGGAATTAGAATTCTTATCCTCAATTTTCATGTCAATGAAAACAAAGGGGGAGATGAGAAAGTCAAATAGCCGGACAGTAAGAAACACTGAGCCAGGAAGATGAATGTTCTAAAATCCTCCATGTCAGGGAAAAGAGGCTAAGAATCACTACAAACTCTACCAGAAAGAAAGATTAGTTCATTTTTCAACAAGTATTTATTCAGCATCTATGTACCAGGCACTGAGGTTAGAGGCACTAAACAAAACCCAAAAACCCTTGTCCTCATAGAGTTTACATTCCAGTGGGGGTCAGGAATAAAATACATGGCGCCCTGACCGGTATACTCAGTGGTTAGAGCTATAACCTATAGACTCAAGGGTCTCAGGTTCGATTCCCGGTCAAGGGCACATACCTGAGTCGCAGGCTCGATCTCCAGCCCTGGTCAGGGCACATGCAGGAGGTAACCAATCAATGTGTCTCTCTGTCTCTCTGCCCCGCCCCCCTTCGACTCTCTCTGGAAATCAATGAAAAAAATAGCCTTAGTTGAGGACTAAAAACAACAACAAAAAAATTTTTTTTAAATACATTGCATATTATATGGTAGTAAGTGCTCAGAGGAAAAATAGTGAACAATAAGGTGTGTTGAGAGGGGTGTCCACTGAAGGCTACACTGACAAGGCAACATTTGAGAGCTCCTGGACTAGCGTGCTTCATAGCACACTAGATGTACTACAATAGAGGTTTAACCCAAGAAATCAAATTGCTTATCCTCATGGAATAACCATGTGTGTCGTGGGCTTGTAGTTGAGACTGTCACACTGTTCTTCAGAGATAGTAACATAACTTATTTTCTGTAAAGGCAAAGTTCAAGAAAAGAAAGCACTGTACATTTTCCCAGTTGGATAAAAGCTCACATTCGCCCTGGCCGGTTTGGCTCAGCGGTTAGAGCATCGGCCTGCAGTCCGGAGAGACCCGGGTTCGGTTCCTGCTAAGGGCATGTACCTCGGTTGCAGTTTGTCCCCGGCCCTGGTTGGTTGTGTGGGTGGCGACCACTCGATGTGTCCCTTTCACATCGATGTTTCTCTCTCTGTTCCTCTCTCTCCCTCCCACTCTATCTGAACAAAGAATGGAAAAATGTCCTCGGGTGAGGATGATTAAAAAAAATTAAAAAAAAAAAAAAGCTCACATTCAAGAAAATCACTCTTTAAAATGTTCTCAAAACAACAAAGGACTAAAAAGATATAAATTCACAAGGACAGAAAAAAAAAATAGAACAAACAAGGACAGACAAGAGATGTCAATGAATAGGCAGATAAAATAAAAACAAAAACAACTGAGGCGCCTACACAGGACAGAACTTTTATTTAGGAATACCATCTTAAGAAAGTACATAGCAGGATACAAGGAAAGACAAAGCTATAGCAAAGCAGTGCTGACAAGCATCTCATGCTAGATCAAAATGGTGCAGGAAAAAATGTAGAGCCTTACTCTGGAAAGAAAAGAAAGAAAACACTATATGATTTTTTTTTAAATGGGTCACTGACACACAGGTAAGCAAGTCTTACCTATGGGGCTGCCAGTCTTACTGTTAAATTGACACCAAGAAGTAGCAAAGAGACAAGACTTACTTCAAAGAAAAGGGTAAATTTAAACTAAAAGCTCCTTACCTTCTATACCTGTTGATCACCAAAATCCAAAGCTGGGTCCCTACACATAGCATTGGAGGAAGGGGATAAGGATTGGGATACTTCCTCTCTTTTTCTTAGTCATACATAAATTTCAAAAACAGAGAAAGAACTGAGAAGTTGAACATAAGCACCCCCTAAAATATAACCAGTGAAGCAAGGAATATAACTTTTCTGACAAGTCTCAAAACCTAAGACATCTGGGTGTGGTAAAATCTTCCCTAAAATAGCACACCTAAAAATAATAGCAAAAGTTCTTTCCATTCTTGAAAAAAATCAGAATTACTCTATTTTTCTATCCTTCATTGCTCTTTCTTTAGAAGTCAACTATTTCCTCCATATGCTCAATGCAAATAAAAAGAATAAGTTGCATTTAAAAGGTAGGGAGAGTAACACTTTCCTATCTGTTACACTTTTACAGTATCTGCTGCACTTACTTTAACAAACTGTTGTAAATATAAAAGGTGCATATCAAAGTCCCCTGTAAAGGTATTTTTTTAAATTAAGTTCAAAAGAACTAAACATCCTCAAGTTTTAAGGGTTCACAGCAAAGACTGTATTATAGTTTCATAGTAGCTTATTTCCTGCTTCCTTTAAGATAATTGAGAAATACTTAAAATTAAAAATATAAATAATCACCCGGCTGGTCTGGCTCAGTGGATTGAGTGTTGTCCCATGGACTGAGAGGTCCTGATTAGATTACTGGTCAGGACACATGCCCAGGTTGCGGGCTTGATCCCCAGTGAAGGGCATGCAGGAGGCAGCCAACTGATGTATCTCTCTCACATGGATCTTTCTCTCTTTTTCCCTTCCCCTCTCTCCAAAAAAAAAAAAAATCAATAAAACATTTTAAAAATAGAAATAATAGAGGGAGCAAAAACTAATACAAATACCACAGGTAACAGTGACAAAAAAAGATTTCTTATAAACATCATCCCAAATTTCATTATTACTGATAAAATCTTAAAGTACAAGCTGGACATTTCCCTCAATTCTTAATTTTAAAAAACCTAAAGAGAATAAACTCATTTCTTCTTTATGGATATTCTCCACAGTTTAAAAACTTTATCTTAGTAACACACACTACATATAGATATATGTCTTACCTATTAAAGATTTGATATTTTCTAAGATTAAATCACTAGTAATATTTCCCGATAAATCTTGCCCCAATTCAGCAATCAGCTTGGCATAACCTTCATTCTCTTCTCTTAACAAATTGAATTTTTGCTGCTTATAACTGAAATTAGATAAACATCATAAAGGGGATAAATTAATTTCAATTAACAAGCTTGCATAAGAGTAATGTATTGTTACTGAATTTTCTTCTCTCTCTTATATACAGCAATCATAAGAATAGTTGTTGAAAGTTTACCTCTTTGTTTATCTTTTAGGATAGAGATGCCCCAATGTTAATTACACAGGGAAAACCAGTAACATAAGGAAAAAATATGCTAACCCCAAGGAACAATACTATACCAGTACTTCCATCACTGACCAAGAATATACCCTAGAGGACAGCTATAATTATAAAGTATTTCAATGGTAATAATAAAAGCACTGAATGTTATTTTAACTTCTAGTATGAAAAAAATTAACATTGGTTTCACATGGATAAGGTTCACTGCTGACTCAATCATAGGCTCCTTTTAAAAGAAAAGAAGACAAGACACATGCTAACAACAACAACAAAAAATTATTCAAACTGCCTTTAGAAAGTTGGTGACAGAAGATGATTTGACTTTGGGTGATAGACACATAATGCAAGAGATGTATCATGTACCATAGAAATGTAACTTGAAATCTATATGATCCTATCAACCAAAGTCACCCCAATAAATTTAATTTAAAAAAGGAAACTTCTAGTATTCAAAATAAGAACTAAAACACATACTCAGATATTTGACCTGCAACATAAAGACACATATACTTACAAGAGTTTTGTCTTGATTTTAACTGACTTTTGATTGAATTGCTGTGACTGTTTGATAAGCCCTAATGATTCCAATGTTTCTGGATCCAGGCGTTCCTTTAGAACTGTGTCTGAAACTAAATACTGTATTTAAAAATATTAAAAGTCACTTATTACTCAGCATTTCAACTATGCATCCACATCTTGAATATACTCAAAATAATTAATAAAATATTAAAATCACATTATAGATATCAACATACAATTTATAACTTCAATAAAAACTGTGACTCTCCAAATATTGAAAAATACAACATATATTTTTAAAACCTCACTAAGAAAGTATATGCATGCTGTCCACAGCCCACAAATGACAAAAACTACAGATAAAATTCTGATTAAAATTGAGTCTGTCAACTGAATTGTCTTTAAGATAATACAGCACTTAAAAGTTCTTTGGTTTCTACTGTTTATGTCAAACAATTCTAGTACAGCAAAGACAAGGACATACTTCCAGGTCTGAGTAATGTCATTTCTCCTTGGTTCTAAATTTATTAACATAAAATGGTTTACCAATGATTGTAACAAGTTCTATAATTTACTGTTTGTAAACTACTTCCATTCTTTTTCTCCTTGCCTAATAAAGAGTTTATGAAATATTGTTTGGTTTAAAAGCTGTCCACATCATTTCTACTCACTTGATAGATGCTTACCTTTTACTCAGTTAGAAACTTAGTAGGTCAGGAATATCACCGAAGGTTTTATATGCATAGATAGTTTAAGTGATATGGTAGCATGCCTATTTCATAGACATAATTAGCATGTCTAATTTTACAAAGTATTCCATTTCAAAACCCAAATCACACCTTTAATGAATAGTCAACTGAATGTCAATATTCTTCTCCATTAATATGATTAACTGTGATTATAACTGCTCAATGTAAAATTTAGAAAGAGAATGTTTGTTTTTAACTTACCAAACACGCTAATACCAATTGTGTAAAATAGTCTCTCTTGCTTTTTTCTTCTAAACAATTTGTCTCAATATCTACAATGATGAAGGAAAAAAGTTGAAAGTTTGATTGATTTTTCTAGACTCTCTCCAGCACCATAATAAGATACTTATTTTCTTTAAAACTAGCTTATTTTAAAATGTCTCATTCTAAATTTGGGTAAATGTAAAACTATGGTAAGTATGAGCTGTCCTTCATATGCATATAAATACTTAACATTAATTTATACTGATACTGGAGACAGACCCTGTGATCAATGGCATATCCATAGAATGGTAAGTTGATTACACAGGAGTTATGTGCTAAGGCACTGGATGCAACAAAGGTTCAAAAAATACTATTCTCAGAAATGGAAATATTCAAGCAAAATTTTTTAATAGTATATTTTATTTAACATAAACGATCCAAAATATTTTAAGCAAAGTTTAAATGACCACATGTTAGAGATGCTAAAGAAATGATTCCTTCCTTAGGTGGAAAGTTGAACTGGGTGACAACAAAGATCTCTTCTACTCATCAAAGATCCTATTACTCATGAAAATCAAATATTTTACCTTGGCTACCTTGGTACCATGTACCATATTCTAACCAAGTTACCTTGCCACCAACTCAATGTAAAAAAGTATTAAAAGGCATTTTTAACGTCTTATTTTAAATTCAAAGTCTACCTAGCAAACAAAATTTATTCAAACTTTTTGTTTTCTTCCCACTGAAATATTTTTTTTAAAAAACTGAGATCTCCTTGAGTTTCAGTAAATTATTCAGAAAATTTCTCAATTTTCTGATCTGAATTATAGAGGAAATAAAACAATTAGCTCTAAATGCCAAGCTTCAAAAATTTCAACCAGGATTGGCAAGATTACAAAGTTCATCTTCGGATCATTGTTTTAGCTGATTACATACTATTACTCTATTTCTAAAGTCAACTCATAATTTAGAATGTGCTATAGAAAGAGGCACAAATTTTAGTGATATAATAAAAATTGTCCCCTAAGGGTTCTAGGATCTCCCCAAACAGATGTCCTACTACTGCTTTGCTTCAGTTTATTTTCTATGGCCATTACTGAAAATCAAAAGAGAATGGGATTTATCATCAAACATATCTACATTTTTCTGGCCCTTCTCCACTTTCCCTTCTTGGACACTGTCATTTCCCAACATTATGGCCACTTTAGCTAAGCACACAGTCAATTCAAGTGTATTAAAGGCATTTCAGGTGTAATTTATGCAATGTAAATTACAGTACAATCTTAATCTCTCAAAAAGACTTTTAATCCATGGGTATCTCATCCATTCCCCCCTTCCCATTATCTTGTCTTGTGGTCCCTTCTCAGTCTAGAACTTCAAGGACACTGATCATGAGAGTTCAGGACTAAACTGGGCCCATTCTTTTAACCAACATCTATCTACCATCCAAGGCCCTTAAGTCCCTAAGATCTACTCCCAAGGTTCCTAAGAGTACCTGAGTAGCAGGTTCATCTTTTTCAAATCAAATCTGCTCTCTTCTTAGCCATCTGACCTGATTAAGATACCACTCTTTGGGCTCTAACAATGTTAGGAAACACTTAACAGGACCTCAGTAAATTTCTTAGCTGAGCTTATCTCTTTAACATCCTCTATGGTTTTACTAAAAAGCCCTCAGCCTTTTCCAACTCTAGGTCCCAGTATCACCAACCACCTACTTGAACGCAGCACTTCAAGTTACATCAGAACCCCCCCACCCACACCCCGGTTTCAGGTTAACAGATCTCAGGCCCCCTCACTCTTACGTGATTGTTCTTTTAAAGAAAATTGGTATCTTAGCCAGGAAAGTACAGCACTCATTTGTCATATAAATGTTAAAGTATTAGAAAGACAACATGATGTAGTAAAAAGATCATGGGCTCTAGAACCAAAAAGATCCAGGTCCAAGCCTTGCCTTACTAGCTGTATGGCCTTTAAAAAAAAAAATCACTTCTCTGAGCTTCAATTTTATGATCGCTACAACTACATTACACAAGTTGTTGTGAAGATTACAATGAAATTAAATGTTTAACACATGCCTAGAACACAGAAGGTGCTCCAAAAATGGCACCTACATTTTTATTACTATTTTCATCATCATCATCATCGTCATCATCATCATCATCATTAGAGAAGCTCACGTTCTTACTCCTATTCCCCTACCTTGATCTGGGGTCACCCTTGGATCATTTTTTCTGCCAAGGGTGGGGGTACGTGAGTGAGGGGGCAGGTGAGGGAAATTCTCTTTCCAAGTTTGCCGTCCTAAATCTTGCTTGTAATAATGGGCTGGATAGGCTAAAAGAAATTTCCCAAGAGCAACCAAACATCATCTTCATGAATTCATGTTACTAGTAAAAAGCAATGACTTGTAACAATAATTCATATTACTAAATTCCTATGAAGAAAAATATATCCCAATAAAATAAATCAATAAAGAACTTATTAATAAGCTGATAATTGATGAATACCCAAAGACATAAAATATACTTCCGACACTATCAAGAAATCACAGCTTCCATGAAATGTTACCTACAAATCATTTTCAGTCTTACAAATTTATAGTAAAAACAATTTTTAAATTGAAAGTTGTTTCATGCTATATATATTTGGAACATAAAGTAATATCTATAGTGCCTACTTTAAAATGTATGCTTAAAAAAGGGTTTTTTGTTGGTGGTATAAACCAGGACAGTTTTAAGACTGAAAGAAGGTACTACTCATAATTATGCCAGGGAAAACAAAACAAGACTGGGACATACAGTCACCCCATCAATGGTGTGTACTTTTCATTTCTCACTCACAGTCCACACATTTTGACCTGTTTCTACATTACTGCTGTTATGAAATCTTAAAAATCCTAAAGGATCAAGCACCAGGAATTTAGATTTATTAAGATCAAATTCCAGACTCTCAGTAAGACATTTAAGTAACCTATCTAATTCTAAGAATTAGAATTAATGAGCCAAAATAATTCATTCCATTTTGACAAACTCTTAAGTTGTTTTTTCAAGTTCTCCCCACTGTTCTCATAGTGAAGGACATTTTCAAGGAGGCAGCCTTAAGAGAGCAACATGTTGTTGACACCATCTGGATAGTAGTACAGTATATGTGACTAAACCCCACTAGGACCTATACATAAACTTGAAGATTCTGGCAGGCAGGTGTGGAAACTTACTAGTCTTACAGCTATCAGAGACAAGGCTTGTAAGTAAGTTCCCTTGCTTATTAAACCTGCCACCTACCTACTAATCAGGAGCAATCCACCTCTTCGATCTTTCCATGCCCTCCGTGTATGGGGCCAGTTTGACAACTGACATGCATATGTATCTAAACTATATACAGTCTTCTCGGGATTTGCCCCTTTTTGTCTTTTATGTGAATGGAATTATACTTTTTTGTAACCTTCTGTAACTCGCTTATTTTGCTCAACATTATTCTTTCATATTTATTCATGTGGATACATGTAGCTAAAGGGCGTTCATGTTCACAGTTGTCTTGTATGAGTCATAGCTCCTCATTATAAACTCTTGTTGCCCACTGAATTTCAGATTTCAGAGAGGTTAAGTCTTATTTTAAAGTGAATATAATGATGTCTGGTAATGTTTGCTATTAGATCAAAGTTACAGAAAGCCTAACACTGATGGGGAAAACTGTGCTCAGTTACTTTAATTCAGATCTAAAATTAGAGAAATAAATATGTAATATACATTATTTTTTTAAATCCATGCTTCCCATGGAGGGACACTACCTTTTGTAAAAAAAAAAAATATTCCTTTTTGGCAAGCACACCTGAACCTTTCCAGTCCCCCTTTTCTTCCTCCCAGGCATGTTACCTTTGCCTTTCCCTCTCCTAAACTCCAAGGGCCCATCTTTTGTTTCGTAGCTTGTTTCCTGAGACTACGCAACCCAGCTGTCTCACTTCTACTACCTCTGTAACTTTCTAAATAAACTCTCTCTTATAATTTGAAAAAAAAAAAAGAAATATCTCCTTTTTATCTTGCATGAATTCTTATCTACTCTGGATAGAGAACTTGCTATTTCCAAAATTGTTTCTTATCCTCAAAACAAAAGTAATTTTGATTACTATGGCTCTTCTCGTTCTTTCTAAAACAAGAAATTAAGAATCAAGAGTTAAAAGCACAGCGGCTCCAAGAAAGTTTCAAAAGCTATCCCAGGACAGCACCCTGGCGGGGTACAACCTCCCAGTTACCCAACCCTTATCTCTCAATAAAAATAAATCCACACACACAAAAAAAGGAGTACAAAAGCAGCCGTAGCCAGTGTGGCTCAGTTGGTCGGGCGTTGTCCCATGCACCAAGGAGTTTGATTCCAGGTCAGAACACATGTGCACGCCACCAACACTGCTGATGCAGGTGTGATCCCCAGTGGGGGTGTGCAGAAAGCAACTGATCAGCGATGTTTTTCTCTTTCTCCACACCCCACCCCTTTCCTCTCTCTCTATAAATAAATAAAAATATTTTTAAAAGAGTACAAAACCAAAGTAAATATCTCTTGAGTGTCCTAAGTTTGAGATTCTAACATGCATTGAATAAGATTAATTATACTAAAATTGGAATTAACAGACTAACTTAACGTCAGAAAACTTGGCTTATTTACTTGAAATGACTTAATTTAGCTCAATTTTATATAAAGATACAATGTGAAAAACTCAAACTATATGAATTATAAACTAGAACTAGTTTATAAACAGTGAGTATACTCACATTTGACTTAGAATACTATTTTCTCTATAAAATAAAAAAATATATAGTGTAGATTTGAAGAAACATTTGTACATTTGTAAAATCCTTAGGTTAAAAGAAAACAATTTAACACAGTATATTAATTTACCAAACAGCACTTTTTACAGGTAAAATAAAGGCTTAATACCTACCTAATATGCAGAATACATCAGCAAGAATGGAAGGCATATCCTCACGAAATTCCTAATTTTAAAAAATATAATTATTCACAGTAAATACTAGAATAACACAGCAGTAAGTATTATGGCTTCAGAATAATACTCTTCAGTAAAACGTAAAAACTAACAAAACCTTAAACCGATATGTTGACCAAAAAGTTTTCAAGTTTCATAACAGAGAAAACAAAGAATGTTGGAAAAAATGTTTAACTGCCTATCATGAAATAACTTGATTTTTTTTAAAAACCCAGAAACCTAAATAAGCACCTCAGGAAATATTAAAGAACACAAATGAGTAACAATTTTCCAATGAAGTTTCATGTTAGAAACCACTGGAATTTGGAGGAATTTGGAATACCTCATACCTACCTAAAGCAAGACTGTTAAAATGGTACATTTTTCATCCAAAACTTTAAATGCTGTGCTTGTGCCTGAGCCAACACTGATATGTGCAAAAATCACAGTGGTTATCAGAACAGAAATCTAAAAACTACAGAAACAATTACAAGTTACAACTCAAGATTCCCTGAAGATGAAAATAATTACCAAAAATATATCTTTATTTTCCTTATGCAGTGATGTCTATAGCATTTGGAGAAACTGACCCAAAATTCTCCCCTCATTTCTGCATGGAAACTTCAGCACTTCCCAATCCCATGCCCAATTTTAGAGCCATTTTCCATTAGTAAGGATCACAATTCAATCATTACAATTAGTCTGCTGGCACTATAGCAACCCTAAAATTAACCTTTTCAGAGACTAAAGGAAAGAAATTTAATTCTAAAGAACAAACTAATATCCGTAATAAATGTGCAAAATATGCTCTGTGGCTAAGATATAGAATAGTGAGATATGGGACTATGAGAAAGCTGTGACAAAGACAATCCAGCTATAAAAGTATATATATATTTAAATACTCAAAGGGGAAGGTAAGAACCAAATACATATTAAGATCTCTTGGACTATTCATTTTCAATAAAATATTAGGATCAGATTCCATAACCACACTAAACCCTATACTGATGCCCAATTTACAGAATGAAATAACCTTAATTGTAGACCAGACTTTAGTCTCAACTTTCTTACGGGCTATGAACTTTGCTATGTCTACGTGAATGAAAGTACTCAAGCTACTTGAAAACCAGAAATAACAGAGCAAGACAAGAGTTTTCAAAGATGGGCCAGGCCAGTGTGGCTCAGTGGATTGAGCATCGTCCCATGGACTGAGAGGTCCTGGTTCGATTCCTGGTGAGGGCATATGCCTGGGTTGAGGACTCGATCCCCAATGGGGGTAGTGCAGGAGGCAGCCGATTGATGTTTCTCTCTCACATCGATGTTTCTCTATCTCTTTCCCTTCCTCTCTCTCTAAAAATCAATGAAAACATACTTTTCAAAAAAGTTTTCAAGATGGAATATTAGTTGTTTAAGAAATAGACTACTCCAACTTGACTTAGGGTAGTGAACACAGAATACAGTGTACAGATGATGTGTTGTAGAATTATGTACCTGAAACCTATATAATTTTGTTAACCAGTGTCACCTCAATAAGTTTAAAAAAAGAAGAAGAAACAGAAATAGATTACTCCAACATAGCTAATGCTGCTGTTATTAGAGACAGTTTAGGAATAAAAGAAAAACTCATATTAAAGCTCTACTACTCAAATGCATTTTAATATGGGGCGGGGGATCACAACAGCTAAACACAGAAGATAGAAGTTTTTTAAGACTATCCCCAGGCCCTGGCCGGTTTGGCTCAGCGGTTAGAGCGTCGGCCTGCGGTCCTGAGAGACCCGGGTTCGGTTCCCGCTAAGGGCATGTACCTCGGTAGCAGTTTGTCCCCGGCCCTGGTCGGTTGTGCAGGTGGCAGCCATTCGATGTGTCCCTTTCACATCGATGTTTCTCTCTCTCTGTTCCTCTCTCTCCCTCCTGCTCTATCTGAATAAAAAAAAGGAAAAATGTCCTCGGGTGAGGATAAAAAAAAAAAAAAAAAAAGACTATCCCCAGGAAAGACCAAAAATCATACAAGGGAGATTACCTATCCTAACAGAAAGAGGCTACAGAAGCTTAAAGCAGCACAGGGGAAATTCGTACTAAGATCAAAAAGCTCCAGGTCCCACCTCGATAATGCTTATTATGAAAGGTGTTCTCAACCGGAGAGATAATTTTATTTATATTGGTTTAAAATTCAGCCTAATAGAATAACACACCACTTGTAAAAATTCAAACTTAACTACTGGCTTACAATAAACACCCTTAACACCCTTACAATTTCAGAGCTCATCTTTCAATTCAAATATCAAACCACCATGAAAAGTATCTAGTCTGAATCTAACTTAAATTCTCTAATAAATAAAAGGGTGAAACAGAATAACCACATAAAGGTTAGGTAAAAATCTAGTTATCCTTTTCTAAAACCAGCAAACACATGAAAATTGGCATCGAGTGAACATTAGAGTTATGAAACCTAAACTTAAAATAATTTAATCCTCAATTTAAAAATATAATAAAAAATAATTTTTAAACAGTGTGTGTGTGTGTGTATATATATATATATACACACATATATATAATTTCTAAACATAACCACAAACAAAAGAAAATGCCTTGATATGCTATACTGAAAGAAAAATATTCTAGCCAAATTATTTTTTATAGTAGTCTTTTAAATTTACTATAGGTCGATTTCATTACTATGCAGGCTTTTTCCCCCTCCCAGCTTACAATTACATTTTCTGCTTTACTCAACAACCAGACAAAAAGATTAAAATATCTTTATTTGTCTAGCAACAATGACTTACCAACATTACCTTAAAACATTTCATTTTGAATAAAATGAAATGCAAAGTATATACTTCCAGGATGTATGTATCAAAGGCAAAAGAAATAGTTAACAATTATTAAATTAAAAAGCATACACATACTTACACTAATGTCATTAAAAACATTAGATGCCTGTTCATGCTTTAGATTTCCTTTAATGACATGGTATGATAACTCATAGAGAGCTTGCTGGAAATCTGTTTAACATAAAAGAAAGAAGGTGAGGACACAGTCTTTGGAACATGAAAGGTAGACCCTCTGGGGAAGATCTATGTATTGTCTACTTCTTAGATTTATTGTAAACATCGATAATGATAAGAAAAAGTATACTCCGAATGCTTTAGTTTTTTTTTTCTTTCATTTTCACAAAAACACAATACTAAAAGAGTAGGAGAAAGTTAACCTTGGCACCACTACTATAACATAATTATCGCTTGAGCATTTCCTTCCAATCTTTTTCTATATGTCTATATATTTTACATATTTGCATTCACAGTGCTCATCATTTGTTATTCTGATATCCCAATTTTTTAAATGTTTTTATTGATTTTTTAGAGAGAGAGGAAGGGAGAGAGAGATAGAAACATCAATGTGAGAGAGAAACATCAACGGGCTGCCTCGTGCATGCTCCCTACTGGGGAGCAAGCCCGCAACCCAGGCATGTGCCATGACTGGGAATCAAACCAGGACCTCTTAGTCCATGGGACAATGATCAATCCACTGAGCCACACCATCCGGGCCCTCAATTTTAAAAGCATTTTCTCATGCTACCAAAGCCTCCAAAATTATTCTCAGTAACTGTACAGAACTCTGGCAAGTGTATATAAACTAAGTTAACCATTCCTCTCACAAGGAGATTTCAGATTTTCTAAATATATTCAAATTATAGCCAATTCAATCTCAGGACGGCATTGATAATAAGTAAGGAACAGTAGTAAATATAAAATCGAGGTTTATCCATATGGTACTATCAGAGAAGTTTCTCCCCAAACTTAAATCTCTTTTCTACTCTATTTCCATCAGAATTCAAACTAAAATAACTGCATACATACATACGTACGTACATAAAACAGTTCTATGAGAACTGTCAACCACAAGCAGTCTCATTCACTATTAATTAGCATAGCCTCCTTTCCTAGAGAAAAAAAAAATTGGGGGTGGGGTTGGGGAATTAATGGTCAGGTGAATACCTCCTTTTTCCAGCCTTCTCTTTCTTGAATTCCATACACTAAAAACTTGACCTCCTTCCTCTCATTATAAGTAGGAAAACAAGTAGCTTTAAAAATATTAATGTAAGATAAGTCGATTTATAATATCCTTTTGAAGGGAATCAAAAATCTTTCAAGGCAAAATTGCATGTAAAAAATGAAATATTTAAAAACCTTCTCCCTTGGTTTGACTACTAGTCACAAAAAAGGAACACAATAGAAATCAAAACTTTTATCAATCCCCCTTTAAACAATGAAAAGAGTATTTTACAATGAGATAAATCTGCCCATTAGGTCCCAATTCCTTGTGAAGACTTATTTAAATATATTTACATTTTATTAAACATATTTACTTTTCATTATCTATATTCTACCTTTTGTATAAACATGGCTTCATTAAGCTTATAATAAACTATATAAAAGTTAAAATGCAAAGGAAAACATTCTATTTATTAGTATGGTAGGAATATGGGGTCAATTTCATGCTTTCACTTTCTAAAATGTTTTTACAACAAATAATATTCATTTAAAGTTACCTAGATAACTAAATTTTAAAAACACACACACACACACACACAATCACTCTTACAAGGACAAAACAGCTAAGCATAGACTAAATTCCCATAAGAGTAAGGGCCAGGAGGCTGAGGGAATTCTAATCTTAATCACAGAATATTAAAATAGAAAACAAATAGCTCCAGGTCATTTTGCTGATACTAAGTGACATAAAAACAATCACAATGTAATCTAAAAGTAGCAAAAATATTCCCCTATTCACAAGTTATTTAATGCCCATTTAAGTGGTTAGGAACTCCTATTGTATTTTATCTATAGAAACAGTAAGTGGTGCCTTAATACCAATAGGCAGCTAGCCCCAAGAAAATCCTATAAAATCTACACTAAAGTTGAAAAATTACATTTACAATGGGGAAGAAAACACACAACCCTTATAACTGTACAAAAAACTAAAAAAAAAGAGATTTATCTTAATGCTAACATTTCAGAAAAGGCAATTTTAAGAATAGCCACAAGTACCCGGCTGGTGTGGCTCAGTGCTTGAGCATCATCCCATGTACCAAGAGGTCACTGGTTTGATTCCCCGTCAGGACACATGCCCAGGTTTTGGGCTTGATCCCTAGTAGGGGGTGGGGCATTCAGGAGGCAGTGGATCCATGTTTCTCTCTCACATCGATGTTTCTATCTCTCTCTCCCTCTCTCTCTAAAAACAAAACAAAAAAAAATCAATGAAAACATATTTATATATAATTTTAATAAAACAAAAGCAAACTTATCTACAGAAAATCATTCTGTCCCTAATCTTCTATTCACAATGTCATAATTTAAATAACTACAATAAATTTTATCTAATAATTTTGGAGCTAAAATAGAATATTAGTTGTAAATTATTTTTCCCAGATTGAAAAAAATTATGGGTTCCACCCCAATAAAAGCTACAATTGGAAAATACTTTAAACTTACTAAACATGATTGCTTTTGTTTTTGCCCCTCCTTTTCTAGATCTAAGTGCTCAATTTTAAATTAATGAATGTTAAGTGGTAACTTCCTTCAAAATTAACTGGATATTTATATCCTGTTTAATTACATAACATTTTACTTAATAAACCATATTTGTGATATGCAGTAAACAACTCCTTTGCTTTTAATATTTTCCATGACAACTGCCTTTAACAAGATCCCCAGATACCACCTAAACATAATCAGCTTTAATAAAAACAATGAACCTCAGTTTCTGGAAATATCCTAGTGTAAATAAGATCACAATTGTTTTACTTACCATACTAGCTTTTCCCTTCTGTTTATGACTGATAAGTAGCCTATGTAATTTTTCATACAGCTAGAAACTGCTGAAATTTGGCTAAATATACCATGTCACTATTATAAAAGCCAAGCAATATCATGACTATTATGCGGGTCAAATAACATACTTATATACAAAGATGTATAGTCTTACTATAACTAAAGTTTTAAATCTTAACTGTAATATTTTCATATAAAGCTTTATTTAATAAGAACTATCTTATACCTTTTGTTTTCATTCATAATTTCATGAAAAACAGGGTATTTATTAATACTGACCAAGCCAAAAATAATAGCTATCATACTTTTAAAACTCTTACCTCTGTAAGTCGAACTATCATGGCTTTTATTTTCACTGAGGATCCGACATAAATGCAAACTAGAACAAAACAGAAATAGTCTGCATTAATTTCAAATCTTAACAAAGATGATCCTTATAGAGCAAATTATATCTAAAAATATTTGGAAATGTATCAGATGTTTAAATCCATTAGTTTACAGTGAGAATAAAACAAACCTAAAAACCCTAATTGCTCATAACTGGAGGATGCTGGTGAATCAATTCATTATTTTGAAAACTGATAAAATAAACTAAAAAATCAAGTACTTATTCTGTCTTCATATATGAACCAACAGTTGATAAGAAATGTTTCTGGACTTAAGTATTTCAGCTAATAAATAATGAAGGAATGGTCCGGCCGGTGTGGCTCCATGGTTGAGCGTCAACCCACGCACCAAGAGGTTCGATTCCTGGTCAGGACACATGCCCAGGTTGTGGGCCTGATCACCAGTGGGAGGGCATGCAGGAGGCAGCCAATCGATGTTCTCTCTCACTGATGTTTCCATCTCTCTCTCCCTCTCACTTCCTCTTTCTCTAAAATCAATAAAGGGAAAATAATGTTTAAAAATAATGAAGGAATGATAAAATTACAACATTACCATTTTAAGATTCCTAATACATTAAAAGACCTAGGCATCTATCAATGGCTGTTCGCATCACAAAAGACAATTAGACATCATGTGACTCCTAATTCTGATAAAAGAATATACTACCCACCTATGATGTTGACTTAAAAAAATTAAAAAGCTTGACCTAAATTCAGACTGGAAAACTCTATAGGACAATGACCCAGTCTCTTCAACAAGTATATTGCTAGGAAAAATAAAAGATTGTGGGGGAGCCTCAGATTAAAAAATGTTTAAGAGGTATATCAATTACAATGTATGGATCCTTATTTTTGGTTTTTTTCTTTCTGTTTTTTTTTTTTTTATTAATTTATTTTTGTTTTAGATATTTCTCCTTTTTTTCCCCATTGACACCCTCCTCCCTATCCCCTTTACTCCATATCCGGCTTTGTTGTCCGTGTCCATCGGTTTTGCGTACATGCATATAAGTTCTGTGGTTTATCTCTTCCCTTCCCCCACCACCTCCTCTTCTGATCCTGTATTTTAAAAATTAACATTTATGGGCCCTTGCCCAGTAGCTCAGTGGGTCAGAAAGTCGTCCTGATACATCAAGGTTGAGGGTTCAATCCTCAGTCAGGGCACAGACAAGAATCAATCAATGAATGCATAAATAAGTGGAACAACAATTTGATGTCTCTTTCTCTTTGTCTCCCTCTCTCTCTTTCTCTCTCTCCTCCCTTCTTCTCTCTAAAATCAATTTTAAAACTAACATTTATGAGTCAACAAGAATATTAAATAAAGACTCTATCTTTAAGAGATAGATGCTGAAATATTTACAGATGTAATGATTTTACTTCAAAAGAATGGGGAAATGGGTGGGGTTATAGATGAAACAAGATTGGCTAGCCATTCACAACCATTGAAGCCGGTTGATGATGTATTATTTAGAGATTATTATATTATTCTATTTTCTAATCTGTTTGAGATTGTTTCCAACAATAAAGTTTAAAACCAAAAAAAAAAACAAAAACGTATATTTTGAATAATTCTTCATTAGATTAACTTAAATACAGCAAGGAATAGGTATATAGACTACAGTGAAAAGAGGTACTGTATACTCAATTGGAATTCCAGAAAGAACAGGGCAAAACAATATATGAAGAAATAATAGCCAAGAATTCAGTTTTCCAAAATTGAAGTGAAATCCACATCTGGACACATTATAATAAAGCTACAGAAAACAAAAGATAAAACCATTTAAGCAACTAAGATGAAAAGACGGTATTATCTTCATGACTTCTCGACAAGAACACAGAGTGCCAGAGAGTTGAAAGATATAGTCAAGGTGCTAAAACAAAGTATCTGCCAACCTAAAAGTCTGTATCCAAAAAGCAGAGATCCAAGAAAAGGCAAAATAAGAACTGAATTTCAAACAATAAGTGATTTCACATACTAAAAGAAAAGCTTAAGGACATTCTTTAGGCAGGATAAAAATAATCCTACAGAACCTTACAGCGGCAGCAAGAAATGAAGTGCATCCTCTCTCCCTTTCTCACTCTCACCCTTACTCACTGGTGCGCTGGTACAGGAGAGCGCTGGTTTCCAACCGCCCCCCCCCCCCCGCCCCCGAAGCTGGCTTACTTTTTCTACATCTGTGACTTAATAAATAAACGTATGCTTGAATTTGAAAAGCAAAAAACAAACAAAAAAATAACAAGAAAAAAAAGTGGTTAGCATATAAATAATTCCAAATGACTATTGACTTAATAATAATAGTAATAATGTCTTGTGGTATTTAAACATTTGCAATGTTAAATATATAGATATATAAATGGAAAAACATTAAAATACATCATGACTAATGTGAGTTTATCCCAAAGTTGATTCAAATTCACATCAAGCTGACTTTTTTAAATCACACTATAGTTCAATAGAAGCATAAAAGATTTGACAATATTCAAAACAACAATGAGGTATCACCTCACACCTGTCAGAATGGCCGCCATCAACAAATCATCAAACAACAAGTGTTGGCGAGGGTGTGGAGAAAAGGGGACTCTAATACACTGCTGGTGGGAATGCAGACTGGTGCAGCCACTATGGAAAACAATATGGTGTTACCTCAAAAAATTAAAAATTGAACTTCCATTTGACCCAGTGATCCCGCTTCTAGGAATATACCCTAAGAAGCCTGAAACACCAATCAGGAAGAATATATGTACCCCCATGTTCATAGCAGCACTATTTACAATAGCTAAGATCTGGAAACAGCCCAAGTGTCCATCAGTAGACGAATGGATAAAAAAGCAGTGGTACATATACACAATGGCGTACTATGCAGCTGTAAGAAAGAAAGACCTCTCTTATCCTTTGAGACGACATGGAGGGACCTGGAAAGTATTATCCTAAGTGAAATAAGCCAAGCAGAAAAAGACAAATACCACATGATCTCACTTATATACGGAATATAATGAACATTAACAGTCTGAGGAATACGGTAGACCCAGAAACATGGAAGTAGGGCACAGACTGACATCCCTCAGAAGAGTGGGTGGGGGGGTGGGAAGAGAAAAACCACAGAACTTATATGCATGTATGCATAACCAATAGACATGGACAACAAAGCCGGGGACAAGGCGGGGGTGGGGTGGGGAGGTGCCAATGGGGTAAAAAAAAACAAAAACATCTGTAACAAAAAAATAAATAAAAAAAAAGATTTGACAATATTCAACATCCATTACTATTTTTTAAAAGACTGAGAAAAATAGGAATAGAAAGGAACTATTATAATTTGATAAAGTAGCAGTATAAGGGTTCACAAAACCTTGATCCCCAAGATACTTTCAGGAGTTCTATAAGGTAGAACTATATTTGTAATAATACTGAGAGTCCATTTCCCTTTTTCTGCTGTACTGACATTTGCAATAGTTCAAAACAAAGGAAGATAAGACTGCTGGTACCTCAGCATGTATCAAAGCAGCAACACCAAATTGTCTAATTGAATTCTTCACGTTTAAGAAATCAAAATAGAGAACAGAGCCAGTCTTATGTAAGATATCACCAAACTGTTTCATTATGTTTTTCATCACCCTTCATGAACAAAAGCCAGTTTCACTTAAGAATGTACTGCCCTGGACAGTTTGGCTCAGCGGTAGAGCGTTGGCCTGCAGTCCACAGAGACCCGGGTTCTGTTCCTGCTAAGGGCACATACCTCGGTTGCAGTTTGCCCCCAGCCCTGGTTGGGTTGTGCGGGTGGCAGCCACTCGATGTGTCCCTTTCACATCGATGTTTCTCTCTCCCTCCCCACTCTATCTGAACAAAAAATGGAAAAATGTCCTTGGGTGAGGATTAAAAAAAAAAAAAGAATGTACTCGATGGGAGTGACATCATAAAGATGGCAGAATAAAAAGCCCCAGGCTTTCCTCCCACCTATGGAAATACAGATTCGACAATACACATACCAATTCCCTTTATGAGAAATGCAGAAGCTAGCTAAAGGGCTTCGATATCACAGGTGAGCACTAAACCAGCGTCATCAAAACAGGTAGGAAAATTCACTCTTTCACCATAGTCCCTCCTCCTGGCACAGTACCACACAATTGGAAGGAAACTCCCAGCTCCCAAATTCTCCCTGGGGAAGAAAAGAGAAGACTGGACAGTACATTTAACATTCTGACTGGTGGGGGCAGGCTGCCCGAGGGACTATTTTCTTTCTGGGAACAAAAACCAAACAAACAAAAAATAAGCTGGGTGGTGAGCTGCAGATCCAGAGAACCCACAGTACAGCAAGCAGAGACCAATACAGCTCAGCAAGTTTCTCTTTCAGGGGAGAAAGAGGACTGGAGCATGATGTGTCCAACGGTCTAGCTTTGGGGGGACTGCCTCAGGGACTTGTTTCTGTCTAGCCTTACGTAGGGTGTTGATGGTACCTGGCAAACTCTAGCTGCCTGGTGGTGTCACTAAGAACAATAAAAAACTGGGGGTGTGCTGCTGCTTCAGAATACCCCTAGTACAACAGATGGACACCAGAAGATGTAAGAAAGTATAAGCTTCTGAAAGAAAGAAACTAGAAAATCTCTCTATTTTTGAATCAACAATTTAAGTCCAGAGAAGATGTATGTTGAGAAAAAAATTGAGAGGCCTGCAGAATCTATAACCAGGCTGATCGGTTAAGCCTTTTCCCTGTACTAAGTCAGTCCATGAAGACCGGGAGAGAAGAGTGTTGTTTTGTTTTTTTTGTTTGTTTGTTTGTTTGTTTTTTATCCTCACCCGAGGACATTTTTCCATTTTTTGTTCAGGTAGAGTGGGAGGGAGAGAGAGGAACAGAGAGAGAGAGAGAAACATCAATGTGAAAGGAACACATCGAGTGGCTGCCACCCGCACAACCGACCAGGGCCGGGGACAAACTGCAACCGAGGTACGCGCCCTTAGCGGGAACCGAACCCGGGTCTCTCAGGACCGCAGGCCGACGCTCTAACCGCTGAACCAAACCGGCTAGGGCGAGAAGAGTGTTTTTCAAGTGCAATGATACCAACACAAAATTATAAGAAACATAAAGAAACAGAGAAAATGACCCAATAAAAGGAACAAAATAAGTCTCCAAAAACTGATCCTAAAGAATCAGAGGTACATGGATTATCTGATAAAGAATTTAACCACCATCAAGATGCTCAACAAGCTCAGAAACTGAATGCATGAACAAAATAAAAATTTCAACCAAAGGAAGTATATTTTTAAAAAGAACCAAAAAAATTATGGAGCTAAAGAATGTAACATCTGAACTGATAACTTCACTAGAGAGGTTCAATAGCATTATAGTCACATGCAAAAGAATGAAACAGGACACTTATCTTGCACCATAACACAAATCTGAATGCAAATGAATCAAGTACATAAACATTAAGACTTGAAACTGTAAAAACCCCTAGGGAGGGAAAAAAACTAACGGGGAAAGCTTCATTCAAGACACTGGCCTTGGCAATGATTTCTTGAATATGACACCAGAAGCACAGGCAACAAAAGCAACAGATAAATAGAACATCAAACTAAAAATTGTGTGCGCGCACAGCAAAGGAAACAATGAACAGAATGAAAGGGCAACCTATGGAATGGAAGAAAATATTTGCAAAACATACATCTGATAAGGGGTTAATATCCAAAATATATAAGGAATATCTACAACTCAAAAAGAAAAAAAAAAAACTGATATAAAAACAGGGAAAGGACTTGAACAGACATTTCTCCAAAGAAGACATACAAATGGCCAGTAGGTATATGAAAATATGCTTGACATCACTTATTACCAGAGGAAAGCAAATCAAAAACCACAATGATATTACTGCACCCTTATAAGGATGACATTATCAAAAAATAAAGATACCTGATAAGGATTATCCAGAATATACAAAGAACTCTTAACAATCAACAATAAGAAAATAAACAACACAATGTAAAAATGAGCAAAATAACACCTCATCAAAGAAGAGATACAGATGGCAAATAAGCATATGAAAAGATGCTTCACACGAGACACTACACACCTATTAAAATGGCCAAAATCTAGACCACTGCCAATACCAAATGCTGCTGAAAATGTGGCACAATAGGAGCTCTCACTCACTGAAACACAGTTTGGTAGTTTCTTACAAAACTAAACATATTTTCTTTACCTTATGATCCAGCAATCCTATTCCACGGTACTTACACAAAGGAGGTAAAAACATTATCCACCCAAAAACCTGCACACGGATATTTAACAAAGCTTCATTCATAATTGCCAAAACATGGAAGCAACCAATATGTTCTTCAATTAGTGAATGGATAAAATATGGTACATCCACACGGAATATTATTCAGCACTGAACAGAAATGAGCTATCAAGCCATGAAAAGACAAGGAGGAAACCTAAATGCATATGAAAGACGCCAATCTGAAAAAGACTACATAGTATATGTCCCCAACTATATGATATTTTGGAAAAGTGAAAACTGAAGACAGTAAATAGATGAGTGGATGCAAGGGGTTGGGGTTTAAAGGAGGGATGAGCATAGAGGATTTTTAGGGCAGTGAAAATATTCTGTGTTAGTATGATGGATGCACATCATTTTACATTTGTCCAAACCCAGAAAATGCACAACACTAGGAGTGAAGCTAAAGGTAAACTATAAACTTTGAGAGATTATGATGTATCAATGTAGGTTTATCAATCATAACAAATGTACCACTCAGGCATGGAATGCTGATAATAGGGGAGTTACGCATATATAAGGGCAGGGGGTAAACAGGAAATCTCTGTACCTTCCTCTCAATTTTTCGGTGAACCTAAAATTGCTGTAAAATCTTTAATTCTTTTAAAAGAGAAACTAACAAGTGTTCGGAAGGATGTGAATAAGCTTGAACCCTTGTGAACTGGTGGTAGGAATGTAAAATGATGCAACTACTATGAAAAACATTATGGAAGTTTCTCAAAAAATACAAAATGAACTACACCATATAATCTAGCAATCATTCTGGATATTTATTCAGAAAAGTTGAAATTGGGGTCTCAAAGAGGTATTTGCACTTTCCTATTTATTGCAGCATTATTCACAATAGCCAAAGGAACAACTCAAATGTCTATCCACAGAATGCAGAAAATGTGGTATATACATACAAAGGAATATTATTCAATCATGAGAAAAGGAAATTCTGTCATATACTACAACATGGATGAGCCCTGAGGACAAAGTCAGTCACAGAAGAATAAATACTGCAGGATTCATTCCTTATATAAGGTATCTAAAGTAGAATTCTAGTTATTGCCAGGGACTAGAGGGAAAGAGAAATGGGGTGTTGCTGTTCAATGAGCATAAAATTTCAGTCATCCAAAATGAAACAGATCTAGAGATCTATTGTACAACATCATGCTTATTATTAATAAGTTTCAGTTAAAATTTTAAGGTTGATCTCGTTATGTGTTTTTAGATACAATAAAGAAATGCCCTTCATGAAGTACTAAAAGTTATTAATTTTATTAAATCCTGAGCCAAGAACACATTTTTTTTTAACAATTATTTTTCATATTCTATGTGAAAATGGAAAAGCACACAAAAAACATTACATTTCTGCCACACACCAAAATACTATGGTTGTCTGAAGGAAAAATCACTTATGTAAATGTTTGAAATGTGATCTGAACTAGCTACTTTTTCATAAAACACCATTTTCACTTAAAGAACAACTGCCAAATTATGGTAATTCAAACGTGGGTCTTTGGCAGGCATTTTCTTAAAAATGAACCAAGTGAGCCAGTGCTTTCAAGGAAAACAATTGAGAGTATTTGTTCCCAATGATAAACTGTAAGGTTGCAAATAAAAATTAGAATTTCTGAAAACTTGTATCTGCCACCATGTACTTAACTAGTTCCCAATTCATAAAGTTTCCCAATTAGTGCAGTGATGATACTAAAGAATGTGTTTTTTGATGTTATACAATGCATCGTGTCAGTATTTGGAAGAGCTGTATCCTTTAGTGAACCAATGTTTTCCAACTGATCAATGCATGATGTTGCAAAATAATGCATGGGTAAAAGATTCCAAGTATAAAAGAAAGGCAAATGGTGTTTTTTTTAAATCTTTGTTGTATTACAGATCTGTCTCCATTTCTCCCCCATTACTGCCCAAATTCCCAGGTCCCATACCATCCCAGGCCTTCACCACCCTACAGTCTGTGTACATGGGTAATGCATACATGCATGTAAATTCTTTAGTTAATCTCTTCCTGCACCCCACTACTTCCCTCTGAGGTTCGTCAGTTTTTGTTCCGTGTCTCGATGCCTCTGTTTCTATTTTATCCATCAGTGTATTTTGTTCATTGGATTCCACATATAAGTGAGATCATATGATATTTGTCTTTCTCTGACTGGCTTATTTCACTTAGCATAATATTGTCCAGGTCCCTCCATGTTTTCCCAAAGGGTAATAGATTCTTCATTTTTACAGATACATAGTATTCCATTGTGTATATGTACCACTGCTTTTTTATCCACTCATCTACTGATGGGCACTTGGGCTGTTTCCAGATCTTAGCTATGGTGAAAAGCACTGCTATGTACATAGGGGAGCATATATTCTTTCTAATTGGTGTTTTGGGATTCTTTTTTTTTTTTTAATTTTATTTTTGTTACAGATGTTTCTCCTTTTTTACCCCATTGACCCCCCTCCCCCATCCCCCCCACTCCCCAGCTTTGTTGTCCATGTCCATTGGTTATGCATACATGCATATAAGTTCTGTGGTTTATCTCTTCCCACCCCCACCACCCCCTCTTCTGAGGGTTGTCAGACTGTACCCTACTTCCGTGTTTCTGGGTCTACCCTATTCCTCAGACTGTTATATTCATTATATTCCGTATATAAGTGAGATCATGTGGTATTTGTCTTTTTCTGCTTGGCTTGTTTCACTTAGGATAATACTTTCCAGGTCCCACCATGTCGTCTCAAAGGATAAGAGAGCTTTCTTTCTTACACCTGCATAGTACTCCATTGTATATATGTACCACTGCTTTTTTATCCATTCGTCTACTGATGGACACTTGGGCTGTTTCCAGATCTTGGCTATTGTAAATAGTGCTGCTATGAACATGGGGGTA